TTTTAGTAGAGACGGGGTTTCACCATGTTGACCAGGATGGTCTCGATCTCTTGACCTCATGATCCACCCGCCTCGGCCTCCCAAAGTGCTGGGATTACAGGCTTGAGCCACCGCGCCCGGCGGGCCTATTTATATAAATGGAATGTAATGTCATGGTCTACGATTTAGCTTTCTCTTTTTTCTTTTTTTGAGACGGAGTCTTGGTCTATCCTCCATGCTGGAGTGCAGTGGCACAATCTTGGCTCACTGCAACCTCCGTCTCCCGGGATCAAGTGATTCTCTTGCCTCAGCTTCCGGAGTAGCTAGGATTGCAGTCACATGCCGCTACACCTGGCTTAATTTTTATATTTTTAGCAGAGACAGGGTTTTACTGTGTTGGTCAGGCTGGTCTCAAACTCCCGACCTCATGATCCACCCGCCTTGGCTTCCCAAAGTGCTGGGATTACAGATGGGAGCCACTGTGCTCGGCTGATATAGAATCTAGGTAAATTCGCTGTTATAGTTTTATAATCCTTAATAAGATTATACTCACTTAATAGTATCCCAAAGATCTTTCCCATGCCATTCTTTTTCATGCTGCATGTAGCTGATAGGACTAGTGTACTGTAGCTTATTTAGCCCCTTCCTTCTCTGGCTTTCTTCCTAGAGGAGTCATTGGCATTTAGGAGGCGCTCGGTAGACCTTTAGGTTGTTTCTGCTGTTTTGTTTGCTTTAAAAAATTTCTGTCCATATACCTTTCAAACATATGGTAATATTAGCATACGGTTGAGTTGGAAGTGCAGGATCTAAGGGTATGTGCTCTGTGTGCATGTGCGCGCACGTGTGTGTGTGTGTGTGTGTGTGTGTGTGTGTGTGTGTGTGAGACAGTCTTGCTCGATGGTCCAGGCTGCAGTGCAGTGGTGTGATCTCAGCGAACTGCAACCTCCACCTCCCGAGTTCAAGCCATTCTCATGCAGTAGATGGGACTACAGGTGTGCAGTGCACCGCTGCTCTCAGACAATTTATGTATTTTTAGTAGAGACCAGGTTTCTCGATGTTGCCCAGGTTGGTGTTGAACTCCTGGCCTCCGGTGATCCACTCACCTTGGCCTCCCATAGTGTTGAGATTACAGGAGTGAGCCACTGCGCCTGTCATGTGCTTTTTTATAGTAGGAAACTTGTTTTCTTCCAAAAACCTTTAGCTAGTCTGTACACCCAGTAACAGCGTATTAGAGTCTTTCTTTTTTTCTGAGACCCAGTCTCACCCTGTCACCTCGGCTGGAGTGCAGTGGTGCGATTTCGGCTCACTGCAACTTCAGCCTCCCAGGTTCAAGCGATTCTCCTGCCTCAGCCTCCCAAGTAGCTGGGACTATAGGTGTGCGCCACCACACCCAGCTAATTTTGTATTTCGATAGGCAAGGGGTTTCTCCATGTTGGTCAGGCTGGTCTCAAACTCCTGGCTTCAGGTGATCCGCCCACCTTGGCCTTACAAAGTGCTGGGATTACAGACAAGAGGCACTGTGCCTAGCCTGAGGGTCTTTATTTTCCTCGCTTCTTGCCGACATTTAGCATTATACAACCTCTGAAATCCTCAGAAATGATGTCTTCTTTCAGCCACACGTTATGGATACCTTAGGGTTTATTCCTGTTGAAGCCCCAAATGGTGTAATTTTTTAAGTCTAGGCATACATTGATGAATAATGTTTTCATACATCCCATGGATGTATAGGAAACAACTCTGGGCTACACACTAGAGTTTCCAGATTCAGGATCCACTTACATAAAAATCTAGGTATATTCCCTTTTTTAGTTTTATAATCCTTAATAAGAAAGGGCCAAAAAGGGTTGAAAAAGAGAGAACATCCATGATGCCATTGTGTTTACGTTTGAAAGGCAGCAAACATAAAACTAGGAGTTTGCCCTTCAACAAACAGCTTGGGTTGGGTCTGGTGGTGTCACTGTAAGAACTGTCTGTGAGCCCTCACCTGGATTGCAGTCAGTGCTTGCTCTCATCTGTTGTACTTACTTAAGAGTTCTTGTAAAGGATATTACTGATTTGAAAACATTTCAGAACAATTGCATTGAATTGGGCTTTTGCATTAACGTGTGTCCTGATTTTTTTTTTGACACTTGCCACTTCTGTCAGTGTACTTTTTTTTTTTTTTTTTTTTTTAGCAGAGGTTTTTTTTTTTTTTCCAGCCTGGTGTTGAAGTACGCAATCTCGGCTCACCGCAACCACGGCCTCCCGGGCGCGGGCAATTCGCCTGCCTCAGCCTCCTGAGTACCTGGGATTACAGGCACGTGCCACCATGCCCAGCTAATTTTTTGTATTTTTAGTAGAGACGGGGTTTCACCATGTTGACCAGGATGGTCTTGATCTCTTGACCTCGTGATCCACCCGCCTCGGCCTCCCAAAGTGCTGGGATTACAGGCTTGAGCCACCGCGCCCGGCCCTGTCAGTGTACTTTTAAGTATATTTTCATCACGCGTTTAATTGTACCATGGGAAGCCAGTTAATTAGGTTATTACACTGTGAAGTAAAGCTAAACATCTCGTGATAGAATGACTTAAAAAAACATATATACCTACATATAATGAAGTAAAGCTAAAGAAACCCAGATAGAGGGTATCATTGCTTTCGTGTATGGACTTTCAAATTGCTTTTTATTCCTATGAGACCTTTTTTTAGTTCTCTAACATATTCCCTAATAAACGAGGTTAGAGGATAACACTTTCTGGAAAAGAAGGCAGCATCTTCTAAGCCATTGCATATTGCATACGGTGTGATTTCTAGCCATGCAAACCTTTAAAAAAATTTATCTTGCAATAAAACAATTTGGAAAGCCCTTGGAATCTTGTATAAAGGAATTTTGCTGGCATAAAACATACATTATGTATCACACTTAAATATTAAAACCCACTTGACGAAGGAACAGCAGATTGACACTGGTTGACTCAACAACCTGCAACTTAACGACGTGTAACTATGAGCACTAGGATTGTTCCTTACAAGTTGGTTATATGAAGTTTAAAGCTTTTCCTTTCAGTGCAGTGTTTCCTTTCAGTGCAGTGTTTCAATAGAAATTTTGCCGTCTTTCTAATCCACAACCTCACATTAGGGACATGAACTGCCCAGCTCATTTTCCTGAATTTACCCTGTCTTTGCTGCTTGCCCCTGGGTCTGTCCTTCCCATTTTCCAGATAGCAGAGAAAGCAATCGTGCTATCACCTTAAAACCCTACAGGGTCCTCCATGGGTCTTTAGACAAGTTTACCATTCTGCCTGAGGCTTGCCAGGTCTTGCTGATTCTATCTCACCCCCCACCTCCAATTAAAAAAAACTCCAACCGTGCTGGGCGTGGTGGCTCACACCTGTAATCCCAGCACTTTAGGAGGCCGAGGCAGGAGGGTAGCTTGAGCCTGGGATTCTGAGAGCAGCCTGGGCAACATAATGAGACCCTGTCTCAATTTCTTTGAAAAACACCAAAACAAAACAACCCTGTTGAGCCTTCCTTTTCTTGTTCTCTATTCCAGTCATATGTTTGCTTTCCTAAAAGTGCTTTTGCAATTAGGTGAAATGTGTGACACCTTCTTAAAATATTTCCAAATACTTTCTTTTTTTTTTTGAGATGGAGTCTTGCTCTTGTTGCCCAGGCTGGAGTGCAATGGCACAATCTCAGGTCACTACAACCTCCGCTTCCTGGGTTCAAGCAATTCTCCTGCCTCAGCCTCCCGAGTACCTGGGATTACAGGCATATGCCACCACGCCCAGCTAATTTTTGTATTTTTAGTAGAGACAGAGTTTCGTCAAGTTGGCCAGGCTGGTCTCGAACTCCTGACCTCGAGATCTGCCTGCGTCGGCCTCCCAAAGTGCTGGATTACAGGTGTGAGCTACTGCGCCCTTCCCTCCAAATACTTTCAAGTAAAATACCCAGGATTACAGAGGGGGCACATGACATGGAAATGTCACCATCAAAATGATAATAAATTTGTGATATGGTAATATGTTTCTTTTTCCTTTGTTAAATAACAAGTCCTTATGGTAGGTCTAATTATTGTAATTTTAAAGTAATGATATTATTTCAAGATAATCTGCAGCCACTGTAATTCAGTGGAAGAGTATTTGCCATTTTTTGGTGTTGATACCAAACTCGCACAGAACTACATTTTTGGTGGATGGCCTAAGGGAATGCTGCATTTCAGCTAGAGACTCGGGAAGATGAGTATGGGAATGTGTCCCCATTCAAGGTCACAGACTTAAGAACCTCTGAGAATCTCTTTTCCTTCTTCTTGCAGTGGCTTCCTTTGTCTGCAACTGTCCCACTGTTGTCAGGAGGAGTCCTACCCTGGCCTCAGCTTCATTATCGTTTCTTCGAGGAGACATTTCTAGGCTAGGAGCCCATGTTAAACATGCCCATAACTGCACCTTCTGCTCAGTTTCAGCACTTTGAATCATGGACATTTATGAAATGCATTGCATAATACCTACTTTCCCATATGTGAGCGCTGAGGTTTTGGGGTTCAGTGACTGTTTCTGCCCCATTTACTGCTGGTCCCCCAGTACTTAGCACAGTGTCACAGGCAGCTCTTAAATACTTGTATCTTGGAGGATGTAAGTTGCAGTTGAGGCAGATGGAACAAATCTTGTGAGAAAAGCTCAGGAGGTGTGACAGTCCCAAGGAATGGCCACCAGGACCCAAGGGGAAGGCATATTGGTGGTATGATGGTGTATTAGGCTGTTCTTGCATTGCTCTAAGGAGTACTTGAGATGGGGTAATTTATAAGGAAAAGAGGTTTAATTGGCTCTTGGTTTGCAGGCTGGACACAAAGCATGGCTGCTTGGCTTCCGGGGAGGCATCAGGGAGCCTTTAGTGAATGCAGAAGGTGGGAGGGCTGGGAGCAGCCACCTCACACAGTCCAGAGGTAGGGTTTGGGGGAGAGAAAGGGGAGATGCCACACACTTTTTAAACACCCAGATCTCACGAGAACTCTCATTCACTATTGCTAGAACAGCACCAAGCCATAAGAGATCCACCCCCATGACCCAGACACTTCCTACCAGGCCCTACCCCCAATACTGAACATTACATTTCAACAGGAAATTTGGGTGGGGACAAATATCTGAGCTATATCAAGTGCATCCATGTGAAGTAGAACAGTAGCCAAGGGAGAATATCCAACGTTGTTACTTGTTTGTCTGAATCTTTGCAGTGGAATATAAGATCCCCAAGGGTGTGACTTTTTTTTTTTTCTTTTTATTTTTTTGAGACGGAGTCTTGCTCTGTCATTCGGGCTGTAGTACAGTGGCATGATCTCAGCTCACTGCAACTTCCGCCTCCCAGGTTCAAGTGATTCTCCTGCCTCAGCCTCCCCAGTACCTGGGATTACAGGTTTGTGTGTCACCATGCCCAGCTAATTTTTGTATTTTTAGTAGAGACAGGGTTTCATCATGTTTGCCAGGCTGGTCTCAAACTCCTGATCTTGTGATCCGCCCACCTCAGCCTCCCAAAGGGCTGGGATTACATACAGGCATGAGCCACTGCGCCCGGCTAGGGTGGGATTTTATATGAACATAGTCTGACTGCTTTGCAGTGGCTCACACATAGTAAGTGCCCAGTGACTTTCACATGTATTACATCAATATGTACTTTATTGAGGCCTTAGCTTGATCCTTTGCAAAAATGAGGGAGCTCCCTTCTTAAGACCCCTTTAAGCTTCTACTGAAGTCTTTTTCTTCTATAGTTAAAGGAGATCTTATTGCAGGGCATGAGTAGGCCCTGTGGGATTATGAAGGTGAATCTTATTTGGATTTTTCCTTCTGGCAGGGTGAGAGAAGGTAAGGGTCCACCCTTAAAGCAGCTAGTCAGCCCTGGGACCCAAGAGAGAGATAAGCCAGCTTTCCTCTTAGGGAGCAGTTGACAGTGGGGCTCAGACTGAGGGACTGGGGGCAAGGAGCAGGGGTGGTTGACCAAGCCACGAAGGGAGGAGAAGTGTCATGCTGGGGACAGTAGAGACAAATGATCTTGAGGGCGGTTGGTGAAACCCAGTTAACAGTTATTCATCGAGGCGGCACTTGAGCTGGGCCTTGAAGTGAATATGATTTCCTTCAGCAGAAGGGTAAGTCCAAGGGAAGCATTGAGGCAAAAAAAAAAAAAAGAAAAAAAAAATAAGGAAGAGTCAACACCATAACACAGGGTGAGAACAAAATAAATGAGAAGTAGAAACAAAAAGTAGTTAAGAATGGTATATGCAGAATGCTGTCAGTAGTCTGGTGCCCCTGTTTTGTGGGGAACAGTTTAAAAAGAAAATCTTTTTTTTTTTTTACAACATAAACTCAATTCTACTACTTTTTATTTCTTAAATCATTTGTTAATATTATATTAAAATGGAGACAGGGTCTTGCTGTGTTGCCCAGGCTGGTCTCAAACTGCTGGACTCAAGCAATCCTCCCACTTGGGCCTCCCAAAGTGCTGGGATTACAGGCATGAGCCACTATGCCTGGCCCGTACTTACTCTTTAAATTGTTAAAAACACAAAACAAAACAAAACAAAACAAAAAAACATGCTTTAAGGCCAGGCCTACTGGCTCATATCTGTAATCCCAGTACTTTGAGAGGCTGAGGCAGGTGAATTACTTGAGGTTAGAAGTTAAAGATCAGCGTTGCTAACATGATGAAACCCCGGCTCTAATAAAAATACAAATGTTAGCCAGGCGTGGTGGTGCATGCCTGTAATCCCAGCTACTCAGGAGGCTGAGGCAGGAGAATCACTTGAACCCAGGAGGCGGAGGTTGCAGTGAGTTGAGATGGCGCCCCTGCGGTTGAACCTGGGTAACAGAGTGAGACACTGTCTCAAAAAAGCAAAAATGAAAAACATGATATAATTTGGACAGGAAGCTGTGTATTGCACTTGCGGGCAAATTGTGGAACATGCAAGTCACCAAAACCACCTGTCTTCATGGAAAGAAGGAGGGAGAAGATTTTAAATTTTCCTTACAGACAAATTGGCGAGCTTCTATTACTGGATAATTGACAGTCAAATGCACCCATTCCAAGCATACAGTTTTGTTAATCACGCATACCCATGTAACCACCACCCAATTGAAGTAGAGAATATTTTCATTACTCTAAATGTGTTCCCTCATCCAACCACTCTTTTGGTATCTATCATTATAGATTGTCCATTCTTTTCAACATAATGGTCTCAGATTCATTCATGTTGTTGTGTTTATTCATTTTGTTTCATTGCTGAATAACACTTCATTGTATGGACGTACCAAGTTTATTGATGTGCTGGCTGATGGACTTTAGCTGGTTTCCAGTTCTTGGTTGTTAGTTGCTGTGAGCATTAGTGTTAAAGTCTATTTGTAGTCATAGGTTTTCCTTTCTTGTGGGTAAATATTTAGGTGTGTGATTGTGGGCCATAAAGTATTCTTTGTTGAGGGTTATAAGAAACTGCCACACTTCTCTGTTGTCCTTGTACCATTTTGCACGCATCCTTGATAGCTTCATATTGTCAGTCTGTGTGCTTTCTGTACATGGTTTGTAGGGTTAGTATTTGGCCAGAATCAAGCTCATGTGATGAAGAGTTGTAGAATGGTTTTTGGATGTTTAAAAATATTTTGAGGCCGGGCGCGGTGGCTCAAGCCTGTAATCCCAGCACTTTGGGAGGCCGAGGCGGGTGGATCACGAGGTCAAGAGATCGAGACCATCCTGGTCAACACGGTGAAACCCTGTCTCTACTAAAAATACAAAAAATTAGCTGGGCATGGTGGCGTGTGCCTGTAATCCCAGCTACTCAGGAGGCTGAGGCAGGAGAATTGCCTGAACCCAGGAGGCGGAGGTTGCGGTGAGCGGAGATCGCGCCATTGCACTCCAGCCTGGGTAACATGAGTGAAACTCCGTCTCAAAAAAAAAAAAAATATTTTGAAAATTCATACGAGGCCAGGTGCTGTTTGTAAGCCCAGCCCTTTGGGAGGCTGAGGCATTGCGAGATCACTTGAGCCCAGGAGTTCGAGACCAGCCTGGGCAACATAGCAAGACTATCTCCACAAAAAATTAAAAAAAAAAAAAGAAAGAAAACTAGTTGGCTATGGCAGCGCACGCTTGTAGTCCCAGTTACTCAGGAGGCTGAGGTGGGAGGATTGCTTGAGCCCAGGAGCTCGAGGCTGTTGTAAGCTGTGATGCACCATTTCACTTCAGCCTGGGTAATAGAGCGAGACCCTGTCTCAAAAAGTAAAAGTAAAAATTCACATGAAATGAAGTTCCTGAAGTTATGATTCTACTAACAAAAACATTCCTCATTTTTCACACATGGTATAGCTCGCTAGTACTGTGAAGTGAAATTGTTAGAGGCACAATCTGTTTTCCCCTCCTGTTCTCAGTGACCTAACTGATCTGGTTTCTCAGCCTGTATCAGGCTTGAAGGAGCACTTAAATGAAGAAGGGGAGTTTCTTGGATGAGAGGAGGAAGGAGCCTTGGGCCTGCAGTGAAGGGTTGCTGCAGAGAGCCTGCTAGGCCTGAATCGCTGCGATCAGGAGCAGGAGTGTATGGAATGGGCAGCCAGACCCTCCCAGCTCAGTAGGGGTGGGACACCGTCTCCTGCACGGTGCCTACTTGCAAATTCTAAAATGTTATTTTCTCTAGTAGTAACACAGAAACCACAGAGATGCAGAAAAGACGTTAATCCCTTGTTCCACTATCCCACATAAATGTTGTAAACATTTGCTGTAATTTTTTTTGAGACGGAGTTTAGCTCTTGTTGCCCAGGCTGGAGTGCAATGGTGTGATCTTGGCTCACCACAACCTCCGCCTCCCAGGTTCAAGTGATTCTCCTGCCTCAGCCTCCGGAGTAGCTGGGATTACAGGCATGTACCACAATGCCTGGCTAATTGTGTATTTTTAGGAGAGATGGGGTTTCACCATGTTGGCCAGGCTGGCGGCCTCGGCTATCTAAAGTGCTGAGATTACAGGTGTGAGCCACCGCACCTGGCCTGTAATTTTTTTTTATAGCGGTTCTTTCCTTCCATTAAAATTTTTTTAAACCCACTGTATGTACAATTTTTGTTTTTTCATTTTTTTTTTTACTGGACATTGTTAGAGCATTTTCTTATGTTGTTACATATGTTCCATAATAACAACTTTTTTGGAACCTCTCTCATTGCCATCTTTTCTCAAACAAACTGCCTTCAATTTAGGCTTCATAATGGATGTTGTAGGTCTGTGTGATGAGGCTTTTTGATTTCTAAGTCCTTTTTTCCATAATAGCAGTTTTAACAGGCATGTAATTTTCTGTTCAGTGAATGTACAACTGCAGTTTTCTTTATTGCACAACGTTTAAAGATTTGTGTTTTCTTTGGATGGATTATCAAATATGGAAACTCTGGGTTAATGGAAATAGACATCTTAAAGTCTTCTGTTGTATTTTGCTGAATGATTTGTCAGAAATGTAACACTCCTGAGCCCCAGCGAGGCTCAGAGAGCACCCCAGGGGCCCACTGTGACATTTAAATATTAAAATTGGAACCAGAGCCAATTTTAGTTTAAGGAAGTTTAAGTTGTAATATTATCTATTTGTTTATGTTTTGAGACAGAGTCTTACTCTGTATCTCAGGCTGCAGTACGGTAGCACAATCTCGGCTCACTGCAACCTTTGCCTCCTGGGTTTAAGTGATCCCCCCACCTCAGCGTCCTGAGTGGTTGGAACCATTGTTGTGCACCACTACGCCCAGCTAATTTTATTTTAGTTTTTGTAGACGCAAGGTCTTTCAATGTTGCCCAATCTGGTCTTGAACTCCTGGCGTCAGGGGATCTTCCTGCCTCCACCTTCCAAATTGCTGAGATTACAGGAGGCACAAGCTGCCATGCCCAGCCTAAGTTGTAATATTTTAAGTATTTTTTTAGTTCAAGGCAGGAGAATTTGAAAGACTTTTTATGTGTAATGGCAAGTGTAAATAAAAAGTCTTGCGGGGAGTCCACGTAGGACTGCCATGTGCCATTTTATAAAGTTTTTTTTTTTTTTCTTTTTTTTTTTTAAGATGGAGTCTCGCTCTGTTGCCCAGGCTGGAGTACAGTGGCCCAATCTTGGCTCACTGCAACCTCTGCTGCCTGGGTTCAACCAATTTTCCTGCCTCAGTCTCCCTAGTCGCTTGGATTGCAGGTGTGCACCACCACGCCTGGCTAAATTTTGTATTTTTTAGTAGAGACAGGGTTTCACCATGTTGGCTAGGCTGGTCTTGAACTCCTGATCTAATGATCCGCATGCCTTGGCTTCCCACAATGCTGGGATTTCAGACGTGAGCCACTGCGCCTGGCTGGAATTACGATTTCTGTAGAAACCTGCGTATGTCTTCTTTCCTGGTTCAGCCACAGCAAATTTAGTGAGAGCTGCAACTCTTAGGAATACAAAAAATGCTCAAACAAATATTAAACAATATGAAATTGCAGACGCTTGGCCAGAAGGCCACACATCTGAGGTTTTGTCAGAGCAGTGGAAGCCATGGTAGTCATTGTACTTGATAGATATATCAGCCTCAGTACCAGCATCCTTCCTGGCTGATGGCCCCATTTGCCATTTTTAAGCTTTAAACAAGTTTGCTTTTGGAAGCGGTTTATCCTTAAAATAATCTAAGAAACTGGTTAAAAGAAAGTTAACCAGTTAGCTGTAGATTTATTAATTCCTTATTTATACCCTCAAAGGCATGGGATTTTGAAATAAATTAAGGCCCTTATAGAAAGGAGATGCCCTTCCCTTCCAGGCCCCGATGGATGCTTTGATGCCTTTGAACCTAAGCCTTGTTAGTTCACCAGGAGGGTCCCTGGATTGGAGTGTGGGGCTGTCATTAACCTTTGTGATTGGTGATCTGTGGTTGAATTTAGGTCCACTTGCATTCCCCCGCACTCCATACAGAAGCTAGAGCTTGTTACGCATTATGAACTCAAGGTTTTTGGGTCACATTTCAAAGCCTTGTTCCTTTTCCTTACCTAAATTGTCATACCTATTGATGCTTGTTAAACTTTCCACTTAAAAATTATTTTAGATCAACAATCAAATTATTTTAGGATAAAAAAAGAAAGAAAAAACTAAAAAAGAAAATTATTTTAAAATTCCTTTTTAAAGAACGCTAGTTCTTTGAAGGGACAGATGCTTGTAAATGGAGGAATTCGAGGGCAGGATTTTTTTTTTTTTTTTGAGACGGAGTTTCGCTCTTGTTACCCAGGCTGGAGTGCAATGGCGCGATCTCGGCTCACCGCAACCTCCGCCTCCTGGGTTCAGGCAATTCTCCTGCCTCAGCCTCCTGAGTAGCTGGGACTACAGGCACGCGCCACCATGCCCAGCTAATTTTTGTATTTTTAGTAGAGGCGAGGTTTCACCATGTTGACCAGGATGGTCTCGATCTCTTGACCTCGTGATCCACCCGCCTCTGCCTCCCACAGTGCTGGGATTACAGGCTTGAGCCACCGCGCCTGGCCTGAGGGCAGGATTTTTGAATGGATGTTGTAAATGTTTGTGATAAGGCCTTGTTAAATATACTTCTATTTATTTAGTAAACATTGAGTTCTTAGAATTTCTCGGACCGGATGGTTGTTCCTAGTCAGGGAGACAGGTATACACACCGATCATTGGTATTAGGCAGTCTTGACCTCCTAATCCTTACCAGGAGATGAAGAGTCCTCACAGCCTGTGCTGGACTTCACGTTGTGTGGGAATCTCTCTCCCTGTTTCAGAATCCATTTGTGCTCTTTTGTTGTTCTGCTTAAGTGGGTATGTCATGGCATCTGGCCAACTCCTCTGCTATATTTGTCCCCTCAACACAAAAGGGTGCATGCAGGCCAGTGGCCTGGGGTTGGCTGCCAAGAGGGACCTGCTGGTCCCAGGGCACCGATGCCTACTCCAGAAGTTGATCTTTCTCTATCTCTTCTGTGTGAGCAAAGCATTGTTTGATCCAGTGCTTGACTTTGCCGTTTTCTTTTGTGAGTCTTACTTCAAGCTGCAGTCATGAGGACATTTACTTTCCAGAAGAGGCAACAGCTGCCACGGCACATATAGTATGGCCAGTGAAGTGAGGCACTTACACAGGCCATTATTTATGAAAGCTTCCAGGAAAAGCATGACCAACCACTTTAGGTCAGGTGCACCCTGGAGGGAAGGCAGTGCCTTTTAAAGGATGAGAAGAAGTTAGGTCACAGGTCACAAGGTTAGAGAAGCAGAGTGAAAACCTGCTCACCCTGGCAAGTGAGGAGTCAAAGTGCAGGGCCCAGAGCTGTCTGTTGTGTGTGGCTGTGCATGCGCATCAAATACACAGTTGCTGGAGTGGGGAGGACGATGCAGGGCATGGAAGGGAGTTGAGGGTGGTGAGGTAGAACTTGTTCTGTTGGGAGTCAAAAACCAGTGAATTATAGAACCAATCAATTGTACACTTAAAGCTGCGTGGTGCATATCCCTGATGGCCTGTGGCTTCAATATGATGGCCTCAACCCAACTTTTGCATATAGTGAGTGATATAAGGGAAGGATGCTGTCTCCTGGAAGACATCTGGGAACTTGGGACAGAGCAAGTATCCTGGAGCAGAAGTTGTTTTAGGAAGAGAGTGCAATGAATAGAGATAACTTTTTTTTTTTTTGGTGGATTAATAATTTTTTTTTTTTTTTTTTTGGAGACGGAGTTTCACTCATGTTACCCAGGCTGGAGTGCAATGGCGCGATCTCGGCTCACCTCAACCTCCGCCTCCTGGGTTCAGGCAATTCTCCTGCCTCAGCCTCCTGAGTAGCTGGGATTACAGGCATGCGCCACCATGCCCAGCTGATTTTTTGTATTTTTAGTAGAGGCGAGGTTTCACCATGTTGACCAGGATGGTCTCGATCTCTTGACCTCGTGATCCACCCACCTCGGCCTCCCAAAGTGCTGGGATTACAGGCTTGAGCCACCGCGCCCGGCCCATAATAATTTTTTCTTGAAAGAGGAAACCTATAAATCCAAATTTAAGAACATAGACAACCTGAGAGTGATTAGAAACTGCCTAGCAAGGTCTTTTATAAACTTTGTCTGGTATAGAACCATCTTGTTACTTTATGCAGACCATTGGTGGGACCAGATGTGTCATTTCTAATAGTAATGGAGTTGATTCATATAGGTAATAAGATTTATCGGGTAAAGGATTTGAGGGCTGTTTCAGCTGAAAACCATTGTTCAGCATTGGCATAGGTGCTCTGTGATGTAATGAAAATAATCCTCCATTTATTGTTGGAAGTCTTGATTGGAAGGAGATTTCTGTATGATGAAGATCAGTTTCAGAAATATATGTTTCATTACTGAATAGCTCCTTTGCCCCATAGGGTTTTATATTTAAAAACCATTTTATATCTCACATGCATAAAAGGACGACCAAGGACCACATCTGTCGAGCCATTTTGTAAAGCTAGACTCTCATGCTCAAAAGTATTTTTGGTAGTTTTTTTCAACCTCCTTCATTTTCTGATCTTGCTTTTTCTCAACCCGAAAGAGATATTTCCCTTTAAATTTTAAATAGTCAAAAAATCAAACACCAATGCCTTGATCAGTAACATATTTTACTTCTTTGAAGTAAATGCAATTTTTTTTTTCTTTGTTCTTGGCATAATTCCTAGCCTAAGTTGCTGCAGTTGGGCATCTGTAGTATGCATTCCAATAGAATCATTTTGGGAGTATTTGAAGGTTTTGTTAGAGAAGACAGCAGCAGCAATTCATATAACGAGATTTTCTGCATCTGTCAGAACTTCTGATGGCATTTGTCTTCCTTCATACTTTTTTTTTTTTTTTTTTTTTTAAAAGGGGGTTTCACCATGTTGGTCAGGCTGGTCTTGAACTCCCGATCTCAGGTGATCCGCCCACCTTGGCCTCCAAAGTGCTTGGATTACAGGCGTGAGCCACCACGCCTGGCCTTCCTTAATACTTTTTTATTTGTTCTTACTTAGTTATGTTTTACGAGTTTATTTATTTATTTATTTATTTTATTTTGTTTTAGAGACAGGGTTTCACCATGTTGGCCAGGCTGGTCTCGAACTCCTGACCTCAAGCAATCCACCTGCCTTGGCCTCCCAAAGTGCTGGGATTACAGGTATGAGCCGCTATGCCTGGCTGAGTTTTTTTTTTTTTTTTTGGCAGAGTCTCACTCTATTGCCCAGGCTGGAGTATAGTGGCACAGTCTTGGCTCACTGCAACCTCCGCCCTCCGGGTTTAAGCAATTCTTCTGCCTCAGCCTCCTGAGTAAGTGGGATTACAGATGCACGCCACCATGCCCAGCTAATTTTTTGTATTTTTAGTAGAGGTGGAGTTTCAACATGTTGGCCAGGCTAGTCTTGAACTCCTGCTGACCTTGGGATCCACCCACCTCAGCCTCCCAAAGTGCAGGGATTACAGGCGTGAGGTACCGTGTGCGGCCTATGAGTGGTTTTTTAATGAAAAATTGTAAAAGTTAGTACAAAGAATTTCCCAAATGTTTACCATAGCATATTTGTGTGACAGTATTCCCTCTCCCCATTCCTCCCCATCATCCTTCCCATAACACATAGTTCTTATAATTCTGAACCATTTCAGAATAAGTTGCAAATATCCCTTTATCACCAAATATTTCCTAAAATTAAGGATATTTCTTTTCCAAACCATAGTACTGTTATCAGTGAGGTCACTAATATTGGGAGGCCTTAAAGCTGCTACCTGTGTCCCTGTAACATGTCCCTGTTGTCCTCTGAGCTCTTACTCCCTGACAGACACATTAAGGTGTTCTAGGCACATCTTACGTGTTCCCAGCCACTTGTCTGTCTTGATCATTTTATGGTTTTTGATGCTGTTGTAAAGGTTTTGTTTCTTAAATTTCATTTTCTGTTTTGGTTTCCACCAAAGTATTCATAGAATGCCAGGGCTGACCCTGTGGCCTTATCTTGGCTTCCTGCTTACATCCTGTGACCATCTCCGTCCTGAGTGTCCACTCCTATTTTGAGTAACTGCAGTGAATCTCAGAAGTCCTCCAGTCTTTCTCGTCTATTCATGTCACGAAAAGCATCTCCATAGGTGTCACAACAACCAGATGTTTGTAGGTATTTCTCTGTAGTTGTCATTCATCGACTAGTTTTCTGGTTATGCTTCTATAAGTCAGGGTCATTTCCCGGACTCCCCTTCTACATACAGCACTCTCTCTCTCTTTTTTTTTTTTTTTTTTTTTTTCAACTCAAAAAGGTGTTTTTCTGTATGAATGGGATCTTGCCGTGTTACCCAGGCTAGTCTTGAACTCCTGGCTTCAAGCAACCCTCCTGCCTCAGCCTCCCAAAGCACTGGGATTTACAGGCTTGAGCTACCGTGCTTGGCCAGGAACTAGTGTTGTTAAGAATGTTTGGCCTCTACTGAACGGAATTGGTAAGCTCACCTTATCCTTTCCTTTCCTTTCTAGCATCTGTCGCAAATCCTAGCCCTATTTGAATCCTTTTCAGACTTCATTTCACACAACGCTCCTGTCAGAGTTAGCAGGAAAGTGGGAACAAGCAAGTCCTAGATTAGTAGACCATAGATTTTCTCTACAAATGTAAAATGTTATTTTTACTATTGAAAATCAGCATATATATAGTACAGAAAATTCAGGAAGTAGAAAAAGAAAAAAAAAAGGACTGGGAAAATACAGTATTCTTGATGCCCTCTTATATTTATTCATCTGAATCTGCACAAATAGAGCTAAGACAGTTGAATCAGATTTAAGTTGTAATAGGTTTTTTTTTCCTCTTCTTAGGAGCTCTTTAGCAGAAATGTCAAGACATTTTAGAAAGCTTACCCAACTTTTTCTTGATATATTACAATAGAAAATAGTGTAATCAGAATGCAGTCAGAATTACATTTACATTGTGGTTCAAGTCATCTCTCTTTTTTCCATCTTAGAACAATCCATAATATGAAGAAGTCATCTGTTTTTCATTTGATTTCTTTGCTTTATTAAGCATCTTCTCCGAATTCCCCTCTCCTATGCTTGCAAAACAGTAAAAAGAGAACAAAGATAGTAAAAAGAGAACAAAATATTTTCGTAAGAAATGACTGCTAGTTTTCGTTAGGCAGTTGTTAGTGCAATCATAGTTCTGATGTTTCCTAAGAGCACACGTGACTACAGTGGGAACTCAGAATTCCATGAGTTTCTTGTTGCGCTCAGTGGCCCACACCTGTAATCCCAGCACTTTGGGAGGCTCAGGTGGGCGGATCATCAGAGGTCAGGAGACCAGACTGACCAACATGGTGAAATCCCGTCTTTACTAAAAACACAAAAATTATCTGGGCATGGTGGTGCACACCTGTAATCCCAGCTGCTCTGCAGGCTGAGGCAGGAGATTTGCTTGAACCTGGGAGGCAGAGGTTGCAGCGAGCCGAGATCACGCCACTGCACTCTAGCTTCGTGACAGAACGAGACTCTATCTTTTTTTTTGAGCTGGAGTTTCGCTCGTTACCCAGGCTGGAGTGCAATGGTGTGATCTCGGCTTACCACAACCTCTGCCTCCTGGGTTCAGGCAATTCTCCTGCCTCAACCTCCGGAGTAGCTGGGATTACAGGCATGCACCACCATGCCCAGCTAATGTTTTGTATTTTTAGTAGAGACGGGGTTTCACCATGTTGACCAGGATGGTCTCTATCTCTTGACCTCGTGATCCACCCGCCTCGGCCTCCCAAAGTGCTGGGATTACAGGCTTGAGCCACCGCGCCTGGCAGGAGACTCTATCTTAAAAAAAAAAGTTTTTTTCTTTGAGGTTCTTATGTTCTTATGTTTTGTTAATTTTCTGTTATTTGTAGAGTTGCAACCTCAGAGGATTAGGATAATTGCCTTTTCCATTTTCCCTGAGCTGTTGAAAATAAACTTCCGTATTTTTACCCTCCATACTTAGTGTAGTTTACATTTTTAAAAGTGGACATTTATACATGTATTACTTATAAAAACACTCCCTCCTCTTAGTAAAGACCCTTATCAATCCACTAGCAAAATAGAACAAGAGAAGTTAGTGCTGTGTATCCTTAAATGTGTTCTGAAATTATTTTATTTTGGGGAGCGGGTAGAGTAGTAGGGTGCTTTGGTGGTGAAATGATTTTGGAGTACTTGGACTCCAAGAGGATCATGGTGTACGCAAACACACCTGAAGGAAAGAATCCTGTCTATACCCGAGATTTCTCAACCTTTATTGACCAGTGAGCCTTAATTTCGAATATTACCCATTGGAGACAGGGTTTTCTGGAAACTCCTCTGAGAAAGACCAAAGTCGTGTAAAGAACGTTGGCTGTGGATTGTGTTGCTGCTGCCAGCGCCTAATTTGTAAGGACGAGGGCATCAGTAGGGTATCTTGTAATATTCATTGGGCTCTCAAATTTTAGGTGTCTGTGCAGCAGAGGTGCGTTTGGTACAGGAAGGGATGATGCTGATTGCTGGGTAGGATCATGAGTTGAGGTCTTGCGTACTGAGGTGGTGGGGCAGTGATAGAGGGAACCAGAACATTTGTGGAGTTCCAGCTTTTCATCGTGGACTCCCGTGCTTTGTGTCAGAAATGGGTGCCGTCCCTTTTTCTCTGTGAAGGAATTTAAAGTTTGGAGAAGGTAGACTTGGATTTGGAACCTAGGTTGGCCTGCGTTGAGAACTGCTGGTTTCTTGCTCAGTTAGGCCAGTTAGAGGGAAATAAGAAGACTGCCAAAACTCATGGCTTGTGAGTCAGTTCCCTTTCTCCAGCCACTGCACCAGAGTTTGGGCGCCACACAGATGGCTCTCTGTTGCAGTTCGCAGAGCAGTCCTCATTTGGCCGGAAGCTAGTCAGGCAGCCTCTGTCTCCTCACCTCAGCAGGGTGGGCTTGGGCGTGGGTGAAAGAGATAAGATATTTAGCAGTGAGTCATGTTTTTCCTGGTAGTTTGACCTGGTTGCCTTGAGGATGATTGCTTCGTCATCCTTTCTCGTACTTCACCCACTGCCCCTTAGGAAAATGGGCGTCCTTTCTGGCCAGTGTTGGTTTCTCAGGCCCTGTAGATGTGGGATTCTGCATATCTGTTGAACTGTCTGCTTTCTCCCAACCTCCAAAAGGTTATGATGTCTCCATTCTTCTATGAGTGGCCAACGTGGAATGCCCTGTATGCTCAAAATGTGATTTCTAATTGGTTCACTATTTGTAAGAAGAAACCTCTGATTTCATGGTGCGCTTCTTTATCTCCTGCATTTGGGGTTGGGATGGTGTGGAACTGTTAGTAATGTGCAAGCTGAAATCTGTTGGAAAAATTTTCCGCAGTGAAGGTTGGATGGGTGTTGTGTCCTGTTTTTAATTCTTTGACTACAGGACCTTTTCTCTCGTAAGCACTTAAAAACCTCTAAGGCTAATAAGCCTGATCTGACATATATTTTAAGGAAAGGTATATAATAATACATGTGTAAAATTTCTCCATCTTAAAGGTGCTATGGCCAAGGAAGGAAGGGGAGAAGGGCCTGAGAGTAAGGGGGATCTTTTCCCTGCCATTGGATAATTGACATTTAAGCTGCATTCTATGTAAGCTTTTGGGCTTGGAAACCTCCCCCCCACCCGTTTCCAGCGTCCTGAGATACTGTGCTGGTTCTGAGCCCATTCAGAGTAATAAACTGTACCCGTAATTCATGAGCTTGCAAGGCTTTCTTTAACTGCTTGAAGCCAGGAGACTAATGACAACATTTAAAATTAGATTGCTCATTTTGGAGCCTATCTGTTTCAGGTTATGAATGAAATTTATGAGCCAATTACTGGATAGTAGAGCCTGTTTGCAAAGATCCAGTGTCCTCATGTTGTCGTGTGTATGTGTGTTGGGTAAGGGGGAGGGTGGAGAAGGGATCCAGCAGTCCCCCTTTTATCTATGATTTTAGAGGTGTTACAGAATCCAGTAACCATGAGGACTCTGGTGTTGCATAGAAGTTGAATTCTTTCTTGGAAAGTTTAGGTCTGGGTCAGAAAGATGACAGGAAGAAAAAGGTTAGGGCTACCCACACTCTTGAGTGACTGTTGGTAGCCAGTAAGCAAATGACATGGTGGTAAGAAGGTTCTGGATATAAAAGAACTAGATAAGATTGCACATGTAGTCTCTCTAAAAACCAGATAGTCAAAGGCAAATGTTTTAAGCAGTGTATAAGTAACAGGGTTTTCAGTAACTACTTCAGAAATGACTACAATTACTCAAATCCTAGGTCTTTAAAAATTCCAAAGAAACAGCAGGGGCCACATAAAGAGTTAGCAAATGGCAATTTGAGCTCTTCTTTTTTTTGAATCTGGGTGTGTTGCCAGGCTGGAGTGCAGTGGCAGGATCTCTGCTCCTGCAACCCCCACCTCCCAGGTTTATGTGATACTCCTGCTTCAGCCTCCTGAGTAGCTGGATCTACAGGCTCATGCCACCATGCCCAGCTAATTTTTGTATTTTTAGTAGAGACGGGATTTCACCGTGTTGATCAGGATGGTCTCGATCTCTTGACCTTCTGATCCACCCGCCTTGGCCTCCCAAAGTGCTGGGATTACAGGTGTGAGCCACTGTGCCTGGCCTTGAGCTCTTTTTCACTATAATAATTTTTTTTCATTTTTCTCAGAGTGATGAGAGAATTAGCAGAACATCAATGCATTTAGAAGTGACACCATATTAATCATGCGCTTTTCTCTTTCTGTCATGAGTTCTATATATTTTGGTTTGAAATCAGTCATCAGTGTGATTTTTAGAGATTTACTACATCTTATTCATACCTTTATTTTTTTGCTAGCCTTCTTGCTCAGGTTTCAAATGAATGACTGGAAGTGCCATTTATTTATTGCCTATGGAGGTTAACTTACAATAATGGATGATTGCCGTCCTTTTTCCACTATGCGAGTATTACTTGAAATGAGTATTGTTGATCAAATTTTATTTTCTTTTGTGGAATTAACTCAATAGTCTGTAAGTCCTTAAAAGTGGTTAAGTCTCCTCTTTTTCCCATAGAGATTTGGGAAAGACTGAAAGACTGAATGAAAAACAATAGTCTTGTATTGAAAATATACAAGACTTTTTTTTTCATTGTTTTTCAATACAATGAAAAAAATAGTCTTGTATATTTGAAACATAAGGAAAATTATCTGGATACTCAAACATTAAATTCAAATCAGGGAATGGGGCTGCTATCTTTGTTGTGTTGGTAAACATATTTTATTATTAGCTTGAGAAGGAAATGCCTGGTGTAGTGACTAAGACTGGAATAAGCAAAGAGAACTACTTACTTTTTTGGAGGAGTGAAAGTTTTTGTTAATACAGATTATGAATGTTTGTGAATTGTACATTGGTATGTGTTTTTGGTCATTGGTAACTTACAGAAAAGTATATGTCTGAAGACAAGGAATAGTTTATAGCTCTTTGGACATTTGAACATAGGAGGGCAAGGTGATCCCTTTTCATCTTTCTGAGTGAGTGATGATTCATGATCTCAATTCTTTATTTTACAGTTATTTTACCATTATTACCAATATGTTACTTTAAGTGTAAGGCAGAGAAAACTTTCCATTGCTGACTCAGTGGTTAAAAGCCTAATGGTGTAAGTCCTGTTTTTGCCTAGATAATCAAGAAGATTTATTCCTATGCTTTATAATGATTGTGGTCACTGTACTTAATTTCTTTACTTTCTTTTCTATGATTCCATAGTTTGCGATATTTGTTAATTTCTATGGTGACCCACTTTTAGTTAAGTGAGAATTTCTTTCTAAAACAGGGCTGTCCATTGCCTGTGGTGGCCAATCTTAAGGCAAAGGGTAACATATAACCTCATTTTGTATCTGTTTATTGTGATCACAGGCTATTTGGTGGTTATCACTATTATTATTTTTTGAGACGGAATCTTGCTCTGTTGCCCAAGCTGGACTGCAATGGTGCTTTCTCGGCTCACTGCAACCTCCGCCTCCCGTGTTGAAGTGATTCCCCTGCCTCAGCCTCCCGAGTAGCTGGGATTACAGGTGCCCGCCACCATGCGCAGCTCATTTTTGTATTTTTTAGTGGAGACGGGGTTTCATTATGTTAGTCAGGCTGGTCTTGAACTCGTGACCTCAAGTGATCCATGCTCCATGGCCTCCCAAAGTGCTGGGATTACAGGTGTGAACCACCGCGTCCAGCCCAGTTGGTTATTTTTCAAAATGAGCAATGGTTATGAATTTAAACGACAAAGGATTTTGAGTAAATTCGAAGTTATGGTAGGAATTATAATCCTAATTCATAATTTATAAAGGTAGCCTACAGAATTTTAGTTCTTATTGTGACAAACTGGTAGCAACTGGTTCCTTTTCCTCCACCTGCTTTCTTTTGGAATGTGTGAAGATGTCGTAAGGCCTACATCCTTATAGGCAGCACACCTCAAACATGAACATTCATAGGCATCACCTGGGGATCTTGTTGAAATGTTGCCCATTCTGGGGTTCATTCTTTTTGAGGCAGAGCCTGAGGGTCTGTGTTTCAAATTAGCTCCCAAGTATGCTGATGCTTTGCCTTGAGTAGCAAGGCTGTGGGCAGGAATCCTGCACGGGCAGTGTGGCTGGCCAGAGACTCATTGCCTCACATGCAAGGCCGCTTAATTCCTGGCCCTTCCTCTTTGGGGGTGCTTTTTAAGCCTTAGGACTTGATTCTTTAAAGTCCAGCATTTTTGTTTGTAGGTTTTCTGTACATTTATTGGAAGGACTATTTAATATGCGTGTCACCTCTTTGCCTAGTCAAATAATACCCAATGTGAGAAGGGTTGCCCCTCCTTTGTTATTATTTAAACAGTGTGATGAAAACAATTTGGGAATGCTTAGAATGCTGACCTCAACATTTTGCTTCCAAGAAAAAAACCCAAACTCAGTCTCCATTAGAGAGGGAGAACTAGAGTAGAAGTTTTCAACAGTTGGACAATGGTATTTCAGGTGCAGAGGTTATGGTTTGTATTACTCGTGTTAGATGCCTTCTTTTTAGTTCACCTGGCTGCAAGCTTAATAATAGGTAATCTTGAAACCAGCATTAAACCCAGGGCATAATTTAGTGATTGAGAACACTGGATTGAGATCTCAACAACAGTGATAATTTGTTTACAGTCCAGATGAGGTGGCTTACACCTGTAATCCCAGCACTATGGGAGGCCAAGGCAGGCGGATCATGAGGTCAGGAGATCAAGAACATCCTGGCTAACACAGTGAAATCCTGTCTCTACTAAAAATACAAAAAATTAGCTGGGCATGGAGGCCAAGGTGGGCTGACCACTTGAGGTCAGGAGTTCGAGACCTTGAGTTCAGGAGTTCATAAAACCCTGTCTCTACTAAAAATATGCATGCCTGTAATCCCAGCTGTTCTGGAGGCTGAGTAAGGACAATCACTTGAACCTGAGAGGCGGAGGTTGCTGTGATCCTGGATTGCGCCACTGCACTCCAGCCTGGGCGACAGAGTGAGACTCCATCTCAAAAAAGAAAATTTGTTGAAGCTGTGTGACTCTAGGCACGTTGCTTATGTTCTCTGGGCCTCCATTTCTTCAGCTGAGAGGTAATCACAATCTCAACCCTGATCCGGGTTGCTGTGAGGATTAAAGGAGGTAATAAATATCAAGTGCTGTAAACAGTCCTAGAGTAAGTGCAGGTGGTGGTGGCTACGCCCCCTAATAACCAGCCTTAATAACCAGCTGAGGGCTCAGGGCTCAGGAGCAGGAGCGTGGAGATGAGCTGTCCATCTCGCCACGCAGCCTCGGTTGTCCTGGCCTCCTTTTGCTGCTTTTCCTCCCTGCTGGAGCTGGTGATCCCCCCGCTGCTGTAACGTGGGTAGGTAAACCTGCACTTTTGGTAAAAACTGCAAATGTGAGATTTATTCTTTTTTTTTTTTTTTTTTTTTTTTCTTTTTTGAGATGGAGTTTCACTCTTGTTACTCAGGCTGGAGTGCAGTGGCGTGATCTTGGCTCACCGCAACCTCCGCCTCCCAGGTTCAAGCAATTCTGTCTCAGCCTCCCCAGTAACTGGGACTACAGGCACACGCCACCATGCCCAGCTAATTTTTTTTTTGTATTTTTAGTACAGACAGTGTTTCACCATGTTGACCAGGGTGGTGTTGATCTCTTGACCTCATGATCCACCCGCCTCAGCCTCCGAAAGTGCTGGGAGTATAGGCGTGAGCCACCGGGTAGGGGTTTTCATCTTTTTTTTTAAAGAGGACTCTAAACTCAGAGGATTCTTAGCCTCCAGGCCCCCTCTCCCAGTTCGTCCAAGTTGCAGACACCAGAGAGCAGCCAGCTCATGGTTACAGCCCTTCCTTGAAGCAGCCAGTCTTCAGAAAGCCCTTAACAGACTCCCATATCTAAATGAGTGATGCTTTACTTTTGACCTTTGTAGCGTGGCCTTTCCCCCTCTAACCCTTTAATCATCTTTTTACAAAAATCAATCAACAAATATTTATTGAACGTTTCCTTGTAGGCTTTCAAACCCACCCGTAGACTG